ACGATTGTACACGCTATAGAATATATTTTTCACTATGCTGCGATTTCAGCGGTGGTGGAATATTTATTGCGGTGCACGGCGGTGGAGCCAAGTGCGAAGAGAAGAGTTACGATTCTTCTACTTCGGTTTAAATAAGGCAAAAATATTCTATTAACATTCCGTAATCTTAAGTAAATTAAATAAAATATCTGATATTTTACGAAAGTGAAATATAACATTCGCTATTTCCTTCATTTATCGGAAATTATCGGAGATTATTGGAGATTTTCTATCATTGCGAAATCGGAAGATAAATCGATGGAAAGGTATGAATTTCGCATAATACTTTTGATTAATTAAAAAAATATATATCACATTTGCGTTCTTTCATATTCACGCGGAAAAGGAACACTTTGACATGTCGCCAGATATTCCTGATCAGTGTGATTATGATCGAAAAGCTCACTAATATATTTCCCCCACATTTTCGGCGCCGTATGTCGGCTAAATGTATTTCATGTCTGCTCAGTTATAATACTCTGTCATCCGTGCGCTTTCGTAAAAATTGAGTCAGTCCGTCAGACTACGGAATATATTATAACTGGAACGGCATGAGCGCTTTTTGAAATTTAAATGTAGTTATTCCAGCAAACCCACCGTTCTCTCAGGATATGCCATGACGTACCCAGCACGCACGCTTTTTTGAAATTTAAATATTGTTATTTTTAGAGATACAACGTACCGAAAAATTTTTATTGCACGGACGTAGGGGGTTGCGCCGTACGACGTATGTTGTTGCTTCAGCCAATCCTCTCTACGCTTTATTTCTTTTTCCCCTCTCTTCAATTATATATACGTAAAACCAAAGAGAAAACAAAAAACCGTCGACGTGCGGAACTGGCGTGCATCGCGGCTGAAAGAGAGCACCAATTCGCGGCCGCCATTGTCGGGTGAAGGGCGAATAGAGGAAAAAAGGGCGACAAAAATTCCTTTTATTTCGAGCACGCTATACGCTCTCTCGTTTACGCATACGGGAAAGCTCTCTCCTCCGCTTTTTCCGCTTTCCGTTTCATGGTCGTCTGCGCCCCGTCTTTCTGTTTATTCCGCTCGGAAACACGAGGCGTCGCGTACGCACTATGCCGTGCTCTCAGTAAAAAGGAAAAATATCTTACCGACCAATCCATCTTCCGCGATCGCAAACACGAAGTCTTCAGAGACACCTCTCACGCCTGATGTTTATTCTCGATCTGAAACACGAGAGCAAACTATATAGAGACACCGTGTGTTTACCGGCAGCCGTTATAAAGAAAAGCGCTTCTGCCTTTCAAGAACTAATAATAGATAAAATGTGATCGCAACGAAAGCATATTTTCATCCGTCAAGCGCGAAATATTTTTCACTGTTTACGCAAGGTATAATGGCCGTCGAATAAACAACTTGACTGTAAAAATGCTTAATAATCTATTAATTGCTTGGAAAGAATGATTTTACTAAAATACCCTAGAAAAATTTTCCTAGAAACAGATCTGAAAATAATTTTATTATGCTATCAAAATATTTATGTATAAAAATCTCTAAACATGTTGAACAATGCTGCAAAAAATTTTGACTCTACCAATCTAGTTTTGATACTATTAATTTGGAGGCCCTATAATATAATTATTTTAATGGCCTAACAAAATTATTTTCAAAGCTACATCTACTCGGCTACATTTTTAAATACTTCAACAAGACTATCTTTTCCATATGCATATTTAATGTTATTTGATATTTGTCAAACTTTCCAAGATAAGAGATATGTATGCAATCAAATGCCCAAATTAGATCAATAAGAAATATATATGTACGTTTTTAGCAGTGGACGCGAATGGCAATCAGCAACCTCGTACGAATACTACCGCTTTCACCACACAAGCCGATGCCGTTTCGCAAACCGTCGTCAAGACGAATTTTGCGGTTCCGGCTCCGCCGCCTTTGGCGGCGGGGGAAAAGGTGCGTCGGTTTTCCGATGGTGAACACTTCCGGCAGCCCAATGTCACCGTGGGCCACACAACTGTACAGAAACACTTGCAGGAAACATCAAAAACTCAAGCTCAAGCACAAGCGCTTGCCGATATGATCCTGAAGGTATAATGTCACAAATTTTTTTTCGCACATTTCATTCTAATGAGATTCGAATAATTATGTATCGCAAGCTTTTCGTAAATTAACGATGTGACACGTCGTTAATAATTACATACATTTAGAAAAATAATGTGTCGTTAATAACTCGTAGGGTACGAAGGTGGCTGTGAAGAGAACAATCTCTGATCCGGGACAAAGATTACACTTGACTTATCAGCAGCCTGTACAATCAGCGACGACCAACCAACAACCGAATAATCAGCAGCCACAAGCACAACCTGCGGTAACGGAAAGCTTTACGATGACGGGATACGCCGAGGACGGTGGTTACTTCAGCCCAAGTCTGCAGGACGAAGTGTTTCAACAGGTTACAACGGTTCCTGATAGCGTGCTCCTACACGCTACCCATTTGGATTCGATTCAGGTGAACAAGTCTGTTTTTTTAAATTATTTGCATCATGGGTGCTAATATAAAAATAGCTAATATAAAAGAGTTGTACTCTTTATACTACTCTTATACTAACGTATTACATTTTCAAATCATTTATGAAAATTCATGTTTTCGTGCCATCCGTAGTGGGAAATACACTAAGGAAAATGTACTCATTTTAATAAATATTTGTTTGAATAATTCTATCGGAATATTTACTAAATGTAAACATATATTTTTTGGTACAAGAAATATTAATTTAATTTAATTACTATTTTTAATAGAAATTCTTTTTGGTCAAAGTAGATCTTAGTGGTTAATACTAAATGCAAATTTTTGCAAATATAGTATCTCAATATTATTTTGTTATTTTGCAAATATTCAGTTATCGAAAGTAAATATTAAGTTAGTACTATTTAAACGAATATTCATTAAAATTTAGTACGTTTTTTTTTCAGTGTAGAGTGCAACATTTCTATTTTTAACGTACATATTCGTGCCACAGTTTCAGACGGCCAATCTGTTGCAAGAACAATCTAACGAACAGCTGCAAGATATCACACTGGAGGACAGATACTCCTCGCAGCACACAGTCAATCCAGATCTTCAAGCGTTGGTGAATTCGCCGTTACCCGATTCCCTGGCCGAATTTAGTACTTACGCCGCGCAATACACGGAAAGTCCTCATACGTTACCAACTCAATCACCCCTACCGTCGCCTTTAACGCGACACGATAGCCCGAGCTTTACGTACCCGACGCCACCGGCCAGCCAGGAAGGCTTACTCACCGGAAGCCTGCCGCTGCTAAGTCCTCAGGAAGACCCGGAGAACGTGAGACACGTGTCATCACCGCTCTCGGCGGCATTTTACACCACCACGATGTCATCTGCTGCAGCGGTGGAGGAGGCGTTGAACGAAGTGTTACCGGGTGAATCCGAGGCAGATGCGGACCTTTACGGGTCCGGTTCGCCAAATCCGCACTCGCCACTGCCAAGCCCGTTGTCGGCGACATCGGCGCCGTCGCCGCTGCCACCGTCCTCTGTCTCGTCGCCGGGACCGGTTACCTTTACAGGCACGAACTTTCCCGTGTCGCCGCATAATGCGCTTCAAAATCAGATGATGCCGAACTCGGAGGATCCTTTGCTTTCCTCGACCTCGAAGGACTTTGCCGCCTCCGGTCGTAGACGATTCGAGTTCCAATCGTACAAAGTAATCACGAGCCAAAACTTGATGGACTTCGGTCTTGGAAACGGCAGCGTAGCTGGTATCGTCGTCGACAACAACGGCGACGTCAAACTGATACAGACAGCGGGTCTGCAGAAGGCGAATGTGTACGTGCAGGCGGGTTCTCTCAGTCCTGCACTGACATTCAAGAAGGAGATCCGCCTAACGACACCAAAAATCGAACCCGTCACCGTGAATCTCGGCCTAAACGTTCAAACGACAAATCAGCAGCAGTGCAACGCGGGTCAGTTTAATCAACAGCAAATTGTTAACCCAGCCAAATTTTTTATTCAAAATAATCACACGACGAAAAACAATATCTTGAGACATAAAACGGTCACCGGAAATTTACCGATACCCATCGATCAGATCAAACAGGAGATGTTAGATGAGGATGTGTTTCTCAGTCCTGGCAGTTTACCCGCCAGCAGTCCTGTGCGACACTATCGGAAGAGGCCACGCATGGATAGCGGCCAGTACACCAGCAGTTCACATTCTTATCCATCGCGTTTGCGAAAAGCTTGCGACCGCCATTGGGACAGTAGTTACACACCGCCACCGATTCTAGACCCATCTCGTCCTGGTCCGGGGCTGTACGCGAGATTGCATCAACACGAGAGAGATTCGGACTTTAGTTCAGACGATTCTCAAGGAAACGACGGTCCACCGCCAAGAATCAACATCGGCACGAGGTATCAAGCCATGATACCTCCGGTGGAATATGACGGAGACAGAGGAAACGACGGACCCGAAGCCGATCATCTTTTATGGGATCCCGGCATAAACAATGTGCTCACGAACACTGAATGTAAGTTTTCGTTTCGTGAATACCTTAAAAAAGCGTATTGCGAAATATATAACAACAAACACTGATTACTTGCAGTGGAGATGTACCTGCAATTCGCGTGTTGCGCTGCAGTGCCGGGTGGTGGTAGGAACAAGGAATATGCGCTTCATCTGTTGCATATGTGCAAAGGGAATATTCATGTAAGATATTTTTTGGAATTTAGATTTTATATAAACATCGAAATTGCCTGAACCTTTTTAATCCTTATTATTTTTTGAACAAAATTGCCGTTGTTGATATAGTGATACTTATTTACAACGCGTGTATGTTTCAGGAAGCGATGGTGAAATTGATGC